GTTGTTGGGCAGAGTTTTCCAAGTGACTCCTAAAACCTTATAGGTTATTGCTGTGGCTCTAGAAGGTAAGTCCCTGTTGCTGAAGACACCATACAATTCAGGCACAGGACCCAGAAGACCCTGAGCTAGAACTGACCTGAAAGCCTCTTCCTTGGGGTCTAGCTTTCATGGTACCAGAAGTCATCATATAAGTTTCCAAAGGAGGGAAGCAAGCAACAGTCCTACTCAACTAATACATCTGTGAACTACAAGGACTAGCATGGCATGATAACACTAAGGATTCAGTAGTGGCATGAATATTTTAGTGGTAACCAACAGCTCTTTAATTTGACTTAAGACCTACTCAACAAGAGGGAAATCATGCTTGGTACTAGAATCCTAGATAACTACCCAAGGCTATTGAGGTCATGGATCTTGGAGGATAACATACAACTGCAACTTTACTGAACAAGAACAATCCCTAACTAAATTATAAATATTTGTCCTTATACCCACAGATAAATGTAATTCTCCCCCCTCATCAAGGAAACTTCTCTTTGCAACAGGCAGAGACTGTGGTGGTTTGAATAAGAATGGCCCCCATGGGCTCATATATTTGGATGTTTAGTCCCAGTTGGTGTACTGTTTGGAAGGATTGGGTGTGTGACCTTGTTGGAGTAGGTGTGGCCTTTTTGGAGGAGGTGTGTCCCTGGGGGTGGGGGTTGAGGTTTCAAAAGCCCACACCAGATCTAGTGTGGCTCTCTATGCCTTCTGCCTGTGAATCAAGATGTAAAGTTCTCAGCTACTGCTCTAATACCATTCCTATCTGCTTCCTGCCATGATGATAATGGGCTAACTCTCTGAACCTGTGAGCAAGATCCCAATTAAATGCTTTCCTTTATATGAGTTGTGGGAGTCCAGCTCCCACTCTTTGAAGGGTTCTTAGGTGGAGGAGAGAGGAATGAGGAAATATCAGATAGAAAGAGAGACCTAGCTGATGAAAGACTGAAACACAGGATAGCTTTGGGAGGGCCTGGATTAATACCCAATAGCCTCATCCTTTATTGAAAAGGGCTTTTTATAACATGCCATGGGGAGAGGCAAAAGACCCCCATCCTTGCAAGGTCAAATCACACCGTATAGCCAAGTATAGACCCTTCCAAATAACTGCTAAACAGGCCCGTGGTCAAATAATCTCCTTATCCAGCCTTGTTGGATAAAGCAAGCTCAGATTCTCTGATCTTGAGTAAGACCTCACTAGATAGCCTCTGTGGGTGCCCACACTTGGGTCATGGTCTCTTTACAGCAATAGAACAGTCACTAAGATAGAGCCCATTACAAAAAAACCCACAAACAATCAAAATGCAATTGTGTAGCTCAGTCCCAATTGAACAAGGAAAAAAGCAATAGACATTGTCAAAGTGAATAGGGAAATCCCATAAGGCCTCAACCCTACACAAAGAACTATAGGCAACCAAGGAATACTCAGAGCAGGCAAAATAGTCTTCCCTAGGGAAGAACATACCAATTGGTTATTTAATACCAAATGGTCAGCCCTGAATTCACACATACAAGTAACATTATATAGACTGAACAGGTTGTATTTATATACTTAGGAATATATGTGTATATGTATGTAGTAGAAAATTTTAAAGTATGTTATGTTTGTTTATGTTGCATTTGTTTAACTCTGTGAAGCTGTGTTACTGTGCCTGTAAAACACCTGATGGTCTAATAAAGAACTGAACAGCCAATAGCAAGGCAGGAGAAAGGATAGGTGGGGCTGGCAGACAGAGAGACTATATAGAAGGAGAAATCTGGGAGGAGAAAAGATCAAAGGAGCCAGAGAAGGAGGAGGACATCAAGGTTCAGCCACCCAGCTACACAGCAAGCCCCAGAGTAAGAGAAAGATTTTTAGAAGTAAGAGAATGGGACAAGCCCAGAGGCAAAAGGTAGATGGAATAATTTAAGTTAAGGACAGCTGACAAGAAATTAAGCCAAGCTAAGGCTGGGCATTCATAATTAAGAATAAGCCTCTGTGAGAGATTTATTTGGGAACTGGGTGGCAGGCCCCCCAAAAGAGTAAAATACCAACAACAACATATGTGTATATGTATGTATATGTGTAATGACAATTAATGAAAAAAGAGGCCATGAATATGAAAGAGAGCAAGGAGGGTTGTATGGGAGAGTTTAGAGGGAAGAAAGGAAATGGATAAATGGTATAATTATATTATAATTTCAAAAATGAAAGAAAAAATAATTTCAAATTATCTACATTTATAAAACATTCATCATCAGTCCACAAGATGGCAGCAAAAGCCAATCAAATGCAGTAAAAAAAAAGAATTATTTCAATTAGTCTTTGCTCATAAACCATCCTTTTATCAGGAAAGGAGCATTTGACCAAAAGAGATTCAAAAGATGCTGCCTCTCGTTGGGCTTTCAAAAGCCCAAACTGAAAGAGATGTAAACATTGCCTGCCTGTCCAAATGAGTCAAGAATTCTAGGCCAAGTTGTACCTGCCCACCCCATTTAAGGAAAACTAAAAGATTCTACTCATTTCCTGATCAGGAAAGAGTATAATGTGTAAACCGGAGGATATTAGCAAATTTCTACAAGATGAGCCTCTTACTGCTACAACTCCTATGAAATCCCACATGTTGGTTATTCCAAAGCCTCACAGCCCTTACAGATTAGTACAGGACATAGAATTATAAATGAGATCATCAGTCAGGTATACCTGGTAGAGTCTAACACTACACACTTCTAGGACAAGAAACCCAGAAACCCAATGTTATATAGCATTAGATGTCTATGCATTCTCTTGGACCAATATTCTCAATTCCTTAATTCTTGTTTGTCTTTGAATGAGCCATAACTGGCAGATGACCTCGGCAATTTCTATGGACTACCCTACCTCAAAGATTTTGAGGTAGCCTCACTAGTTTTGGCTAAGCCCATACCTGAAATCTAGAGGAAATGAAAAATGCAGAGGGCATTATAACTCAACATGTTTTTACTACCTCCAAGGAATAAATAACTTTTAGGAACCCTTGCCTTTAAAGGGAAGATAAGATCTCCAAGAAGAGGTAAAAACTCAGAAAGTTAAGGGTGAAATAACTGGGCTTCATTATGATCCCAGGACACTAGGCCTCATCCTCAAATAATTTTCAGCTGTTGTACATCTTTCCCCTCCCCAGACCCAGAGACAGATATAGGCATTCCTTGGATGAACTGGGGGTTGTTAACTATGAATTCAGGTGTATAGGGAAAGAGGCAAGCCTCTATAGGAAAATACATGCTTCTACATTCCCCTACAACTTGATGGATCAGAAGAACAATTTTGCATTCAAATTTTAAAAAGTCCTTCTGAAGGTTCAAGCCCTGGGGTTACCTGGGAGCAAAAAATGCTTTTAACATTTGTCACCCAAAACAAGGGATTACTATGGGAACTCAACTCAATCTCTAGGCCCACACAAGTAACCCATGCATGGCACAGTCATGAAACTATGTAACTTGTGGCCTGAGAACAGACCCCTTCCTCTAGGAATTGACAGGAAACATCATTGGCTGACGAAGCTTTTAAATTCACACGTGAGTCTCTCATAAATATGTACATGCATCTTTTCTTTATTAGAGTCAAGCAGATCTCTTCAATCATCAATAAATTTATATAATAGCAGTCTTTTGGCACTCTACCCTGAGATCACTCTGCAGGGAAATATCTATAACATAGTTGCTTTTTTTTTTTTTTTAGCTCTCCTTGAAAGTTCAGGCCAGGCCACCTATGACTGTTTAGATGTCCTTTCAATATCCAACTCTGCAAAATCCAACCTGAAGGATATCCCTTAGAAAACCCTGCTTAGGTTTGGCTTACTCAGGGGAGGTGCTTTGTGATACAAGAAAAATGGATTGCCTCCGTCAAGGACACTATGGGGGTCAAGCCTCTGGCACTGCAGTTCAATTAGCCAAACTTATAACTCCAATTAAAGCCTTGGAGTTGACAGAAAATAGGGAAGTAGCCATAGACACATATTCTAAATATGCCTTCCTACCATTACATGACAACTCTGCAACCTGGAAACAAGGGAAATCATTAACATTTCCTAAATAGTACTATCAGATATAGACTGTAGATATAGTCTCATCTAAGGCATATAAAAACTCTCAAGTACACTGTAGTACATTTAAAGAGAACATTAAATGGACAATAAACTTATCAGCAGAGGAAATCAATTGGCTGACAGAGCTTCAAACATGGCTGGTATGACTCAGTCTTACTAACACTTGCTGATCTCCTGACATGACTCCTCATTATAGACCTCTATAATCCCCCTCTGGGGAAAGAAAAAGCAACAGAGGAATGGATATTAGATTTTTGAGAGTTAAGGAATTATTTACACTTGTCTGTGCTTTGTACCTTGAACCATAGTGTCCTTGAGAGGGAGAGGTCTTTTGCCTCTCTTCTTGCTGGTGTATAAAATGTCCATGAGGAATAAACTCAGGGTGACTCAGAGCCATCCTGATGCTATTCTGTGTCTCTGTCTTTTTCTTTCACATCTACATCTCTGTTTTTCATAACTATTATTTCTTAATACTCACTCCTCTCTTCAAGGACTGTTTGACAGTCAGGCGGGACCCAGTGCACCCCTCCCCCGTAAGGATGCCTCCTGGCAGAGCTCTGCTTCTTCTCTCTTGCTCAAGATGTTGCTTCTTCTGCTTCACTCTGCTAAAGGGGAAAGCCCTGCAGAAATGTAGTAATCTTCTCTGGCTCCCGTGAAAAGTTGTTACTTTTTTCTACTCAGGCCCCCCTAAGGGAATGTCCAGCAAAGGTTTTTTTGTTTTGCACCATGAAAGATTTTCACCCAAAACTCTTTTAAGAAAGAGATTTCCAGAAGCCTGCCCATGCACTAGGGACAGATCCCGATCCCCCTGCCTGGGTGCCCCCCAAACAGTTCAAGCCAAACAACCATCTTCCATATCCAGAGGGCCTAGTCCAGTCCCATG